GAGTTTGCAACAACGATCAAACATGAATAAGCAACACAAGCTCGTGGTAGTGACAGTGACTGTCGCCCTAAAGGATCTGATCCTAAAGGTCTGTTATGTAAAAAATGGAAGACGTGTCGTCGTGATCTTGGGCTTCGATGTTCATTGCCTGATGAGCAAATTGCTTAGATTGACTCACACCAAGGCAACAAATAAACTATCACCGGAGTGGTCGCATTCCAACAAATACAGGCTCTTCAGCCGCAGCCCATCTGCTTTCCTCGCCTGAAATGCACCACTGGGCTGTCTATGTGAAAAGCACGCTGGTCGACCGACCCAGCGAGGGAATGCCTTCCATCGCCTTCGAGTCACCAGGGGTCACCCTCTGTCACCCGGGTCTTGGGTAGTTTCCTTCCGCACATGCGCCGCAATTGACTATTCAATTGCCTGTAGCAGAAACTTGGAGACATCAGAGTCATCAGAGACATCATTCGAAAGCGGACCTTCCAATGTGAGGTAAATCCCAAAACCGAGTTTTCGCCAGAAACTCCAATACCAAAGTCATCACCAAAGGTCGAAGAACCCACAGCACCAAACCACCCTGGGATGGAGAACATCTGTCAAATCAATTTACAAAAATTATTTGATGGTCCCTCTAACTAACGCAGGTGTCTTGACGAACTGCTTTCTTCAGCAATGATGTGATACACCTTCGTGCCACTTTGCGGCTCTCAAACCGGCCGCATCCACACGGTCCCGCGTTCCTTCACAGGCCCCCCGACGCGTTGCCCTTGCCGCGGATGCTCCACCGGGCGCGAGAAGAGGTCCTTTTGACCTGCCGCTTCGGCGTCGGAAGTCTTTGGGATCTAGCGCGCGACAAGCATGTGACACATCATCTTTCTTTGCACCGGGCAAGAATCATGGATCCAGGACTTCTAACTTACTAGTAAGTCATGGTCTAGAATTGCTCGACTATGACTGTCTTGTCCTTTGGACTCCAAGGGCTACTCTAATTTAACCAAACTTGAGATCCCAGGATGTTTGATCACGAATTGTCCCTGAAGAGGTCAGAATTTTTCGAGACAGTCCTAGAGGCAAAGGTCACTTTGGCTCGGGGGGAAAAAAACACAACCACTACGTGCCAAAGGTGTGAATGAGGTCAACCCGAAAAGGGCAAAGAATGGCAACGGGGGTGATGGATGTAATGGCATGGGCCAAAAATATAGTTTTCGGACGCATGTGGTGTGATTCAAGTTCTGCATCCAGGATGCCGACTGAGGCTTGGCAATGGGGAGGCAATTTGGACACCACTAACACGTCACTCTTCCATCTTCCACGCTTGCATTAGAGATTGTTTCCACACAAAGCATAGATAGATAGATAGATAGATAGATAGATAGATAGACTGCATAACAGTATAGACGTCTATAAGACGATGCACACTATATATATAATTTCTAGGCACTTCTTAGAGACATAGCAAGCGGCTTAAGCTCCGCGCCCCCATCCCGGAACCTCGGCCCTTCCCAGAGGATCGGATCCCGCCTTTGGGTCGTGCCGGGCGTGCTCGATCGCCAGCACTTTGCCTTCGAATTCTTCGACACTCCGACGAACACATCACATGGAAGTCGAAAAACAAGTAAAAAAACAAGGCTTCCACTTCCAAGGGACCTAGTTAGTGAGTATACTGAGTATAGTAGTCTTCCAAGTAAAGTCTTCCAAGATCCATGTGTCAAGTGTCAAGTCCTCTTCCGAACTCGGAACCATGCCATCCCAGGTAACCATCCATGTGAGGTGTGAAAAGAGTGCACACTCCCTTACAATAAACCCATGGTTACGGGGATGGGCCCCGAGTTCCGAAGACTCAACAGGTGGTGTCTTCCACTGCGATGATGGTTTCAGGGAGTCTATCTCCACGATTCTGTCAAGGCACCCGTCTATCGTCTCCCCCAAGCTGTACAAACCGTATCAGAATTTTCCTCATGATGTCGTGATCCTTATGTTGAAAGAACGTCTTCATGGGCCAGTCTGACAGTCACAAAACAAAGGACATGCCCATTTAGTTCTGATGGTTCTGGAGGATTTAGAAGGTCCTTTTGTCCAAGTTCCGCCATTCTCTACCTTTGTAGTACAATACTCTCTGCGCTGTATTCTCTAATCATTGCAGAACACCCACCAATTTGCATCTCTGGCTGTTAGGGAATGGCTTCACCCCCAGTACACCTCATTCACATCTGCTCATTTCAACTTGAATCGCCACTTCTGGTTGGGTCAGCACCCCCCACCCACCACGCGACCAGTCGCGTGCTCCGTTTCCTGCAGGTGCGGAGATCCGCAGCCCGGCCGTCGGCCCTGGGGTCTGCCCGCTCGGCCCTCAGCCCGCTCGGTGCGTTGGGGTGGATGGGAGACGAGTCCCTCAGCTGTTTGCATCTGCCAAGCTGAAAACCTGCCAGCTCATGTTGAAGTTACCTGTACATCCTGTACCAGGCTTTAGAATCTTCAGATTTCCACGTGGTGATTGTAAAAAGATGGAAAAAGAGACGCATGGCATCGTTTGCCCAAGGCCCAACTTGTCCAACTTCACTTCAACACGTTCAATCCTCTTAGTAAATACAATACTTTCACGATGTCTGACATCGCAAAGTAACCGTCCTCTCCCTCCGCTCTCCATTGGAACCGGTCTGAGCGAGCGGCTGAGACCAAAAGTCATCATAGACGACGAAGTTGTTGTTTTGAGGCTGGCAAGGCGGCAGCGACAATCCAACTCTGGTTTCAGCAATCAAAGGTCCATGACCTATAGACCTTAAGATCAATCGCCCAGCGACATCCAGCGACTGCCCATCCAAGCCTTGTACTTTCGAAGACCATAGTGCTTACTGAGAAAGCTCAGCAACTTGGGTGACGGACGGTCGTATCCCAGCAGCTCCTGCACGGAAGGAAGGAGCCAAGGAACGACGAAGCGACTATGAGTAAGGATGATTGCCATGAGATGGCGATGTGGCTCAAACATAGCAACACAGTACACCAGAAACCAATTAACATCAACTAGCATCTTGAGTAATGGACAAAACAAATATAAACAAACAGGGGATGGTCATGGTCTGCCCCCCTTGCCCTTTGGCTTCTCCCCCCACACCATAGAGTTTGTCGATTTTTTATACCCTCCAGTTCCAAGTACCTCCTCAAAAGGTATTTGGACCCTCCAAACCCACCCCTTTGCTCCAAACATTGGCTTAGAATCGTCTCCGACTAGCTCTTTCAGAGGTACCGTGCCTGACAAGTTGGTTTGGCACGCCAGGTTTGGTTTGGCAATGCGCCGCATCAATCGATATGAACGCGGCTAAACACCGAATAGAAACTGAGAAAAAGGCGTACACTAAAAATCATGGAAGTGGAAAACCACCTGATCGTGGAGGAAGATGGTCATCCAAGGGAATGCCATCCACTTCCATCAATATTTGAGGGGGTTTTAACCCGATCTTTATTCGTGCGAACACCTGGAGATGGTGACCAAGTCATCCATGATGAGTGTATATATAATATGTAAAGCCCGTCAAACGCGCCCCGCGCCGGACGTCGCCCGCTCCGGTGAGCTTCGCTCGTGTGCAAGCATGGCATCGAAGAGTTGTCGACCAAAGCCCGAGCGTTGGTACCTGCCAACCCCGCCGGACGGTCCCGCGCAGTGGTCGGGTCGTCTAACGGTGGTCCGGGGTGAGACTGAAGGCTCTAAGGTCTGTCGTACGGCGGCCTGCTCCGGATGGGCTACCTATAGAGCGATGCATGAACACCATTTGGGGCGAGGGATCGTAGGGTTCTGGTTAGAGATCTTGAAACTAAGCTATTTGGAACCTGTTCCTTCGCAACTCGAAATCGAGGACCTAAAGACCAACTCCTGTCCATGAGACCAACACCAACTGCTTGAGGACGGGCTTTTTGTGGCTAGCGTTGCAAACTCTCACGGTCCTCCGGGAGTCTAAAGGCCGAAAAGGAGGCGTTAGACGAAGGCAGGGGCGGATCTGACAGAGGCCTCTCTGTCTCACCGGGGCCATCTCACCTCCTGGAGCGAACCGGGATTCGAAGTGAGTAGTGTTTGGACCGAACCGATTTCTTCAGCCCCAGGCTCCAAAGATCTCCCAAGACTTGCCCAAGTCCTTCCTCGAAATGTGGGGCACCGCTCGTGGATGTAAAAGTCCAAGGCACATCTGGCCGGCTTGCGAAAACCAGGTGCGTTTTGGGAGAGCTGGGAGAGGGAGTGCGCCACTGGAAAGCAGTTCTTGAGAGGTTTTCTGCATATCTAGGGCTCCAAGTACCTCCTCAGAAGGTATTTGGAACCTCTACACCCACCCCAAAGCTTTTCAAAGGCTCAACTCTTCGACGCACGCAAAGCGATGCAAAGCCATGTCGGTGGAGCAAAGGCTGAATCTCTTGAAAGGCATTTCTGACCTTGGTCCGAAATCGAAACGCACATAATTGGCGGTCAGGCAATCCTCAGCGATGGTTTCCACGGGAAATCACGAACACAGTACGGAACCAGAATCACACCTTCCTGGTGCGAAAAAAATGGTTTCCAGTCATGCAATATGTTTTTTCACTCCAATAAACTAAACAAGTTAACCAAAGTCCAGTCTCCCTTTCTGCTGCTAAACACAGAGTTTGCAATATCCTGGCCTCTTGGCCTATCTTAGCCCGCCTACTTTGCCCAACGACACGCACGTAAACCGAGATTTCCTGATGCTTGCAACCCACACTTAGACGACTAGGTTTCACCACCCCACTCCTGGCGACACACCTGGCGACACACTATGTCTCCTTCTCTCAGCTGGTCGAGTCGCAGCGAACTCCCCGGTCGCTCGATCGCACGACGCCTGGGCTTCGGCACATCCGCCCAGTCGCTGGCGGCGAAGGGTGCCTCCACGAAGAGCCTCTTTCGCCCCACCTGCGCCGGCGGAGCGACTTCAGAGGCGACGCTCAGGCGTCGACGGGCGTGTCGACGTGGGAGGGGGGTCGCACACGTGGTGCTTTTCGAACCAACAACGCGAAGAGGACAAACCATGCCTTGTCAAGTTTTTCTGACAGCGACGGAGCTGACAGCGACGGTGCCTTACAAAGTTCCTTTCTTCTTCGATGGCGACTAGTCGTCTGATGCGATGAGTCGTCTGACGGACTCATCGTCTGCATCCTGCAGGAAGACGCCAAAGGTCAATGCATCCATCAGAATCCTCTCCTTGCCTTCCAAGCTCACGCTTAACATCCGCAACTCTCCTCTTTCCGCAGCTTCTAGGAGGAAAGAGGTGTGCTTGGCAATAGGCGGCACATCATCTGGATTCTCTTCTATCTCCTTCGAAGCACGCTCGATGGGTTGCTGCAACTCATCCCGTAAACCCTTTCCAAAAATGGCTTTGGTCTGTCTGCGGATCGCCGCAATGAGGTTGGGACTCAAGCTCAAGACCTCCCCCAGAAGCTGGTTCTTGGCCAACATCTCCACAAAGTTCTTGAACCTCTCCACAAGCACTTCTTCCGATTCGCTGGTCTGCTCACTGGTGAAAAAGCTCTGTGTGGAGAGCTCCAGTTCGAAGCGGCGACATAAGCGCCGCAAGGACAGCCCAAAGAGAGCATGTCCAAAGTAAAGGTCTGCTTGAAAACAGCGGGTGCTGGTCGTTACGTCTCGAAAGACCCCAATCCACTTTCCAAAGTCTTGTTCAGTCCAAGCTGAAGCTGTCTGCGGTGCAGACTTCAAAGATGGCAAGCCGGAGGCTCCACCAATCTCCTTTAAAACTCGATTCTTGGCCTCGCGAAAGCCCTCTAAAAAGCCTTGGAACTGACCAGGTGAGCGAAGCTGCTCCTGGGTGTAGGCATCTACCAAAGATTGGCAGTATCTCCTCACTGGACTCATCAGTTCCGCTGAGTTCCTCCCCCACAGCTACTTTACACTCTTATACCAGGGCCCCCTAAGGGGTGGTTAATGGACGCCCCTGAACCTTTGAGGAGCCTTCATTGGACACCCCTTACTAGGTTGTATTCAACATAGTTCAATAGGTCATACTGACCTCACAGACCCTTTTTACAGGTCCATCCACCCCCCAGCCCAACGGCAGCAGTGGCGGCTGCTGCTGCTGCGGCCGCTGCCACCATCCAGGGCCGCCTTCAACGATCAAGGTGGGGATGGCATGCATTGAGTTGGGAAGACTGGGTGAGGGTGATTGGACCTGGTCTTTCTTGGGGAGGTTGATCATTGGCTGAAATTTTAATTGTCCGCCCACTTGCGGGATGATTGGACCTTTGACCAATATGTTCAAAGTGGGTTGAAAACACCAACCAGTCAACCTTTTTCTTGGTTCTCCACCGGAGGTGCCTGGTGAAAGGCACCATGTCATCTGTCAGCGCGCAGACTGAATTAAAGGTTTCTGTGCTTGCTCCACAGCCTCTAAGCCATCAAGCATGGCATGGCTTTCAAGCTACATATCATGGCGTGGAATCACATGGCTCTCAAGCCAAATATCACACCATGGCACGGAATCACTGCACTTTCAAGGCAACATGGCATGGAATCACTGCGCGTTCAAACCAAGTATCACACTATGGCATGGAATCACTGCACTTTCAAGCCAAATATCACGACATGGCATGGAATCACTGCACTTTCAAGCCACCAAATATCACACCATGGCATTGAATCATGCAAGCATGACATCCACCTACTCATCCATCACCTGTCGCTACAACCCATATGTGCGTGGCAAGGTGGACAATAGGAAACCGTGACTTGCGTGAATTTTCAGATTGTATGCTTTTTCTATTTTTGCTCAATTTGTTTCTTTTCATTTTGATTGTATGGGGTGAGTTGAACTTTTGGAACCACACCCAGGGAAGAACCTCGCTATCCTCCTCGCCCTGTGTTTGATCCCTTGGTTCCTGCAAAGAAGATTGGAGTGACAACGTCAGAGCGACCCCTTGACCTGGCATGGAAGAGTGTTTTGGATTTGTTTTGGGTTTCCTTTGTGTTTGAGTTTGGGTATGTTTGATCATACTTTGGATTGGCCGTGTTGCGTTTGTTTCATTTTGTTTGGTCAGCCTTTTGATTTGAGTTTAGTTGAGGTGGTGGAGGCATGGTGGTGAGGCAGCAGGTCTCGGGGCCACGTGAGCTGCCAAACCACGTTCAGTGCCTTCATGCCTGGAGATGGGGTCTGCTTTCAGCCACGAGTCTGAGTCACCTGGCACAAAGTCTTGTTTTGTTGATATTTGTTGTTTGATCTGGATGCTTTGGTTTTGTGAGTTTGTTGGTGTCACCTTGAAGTTTTGCTTTTTTGTAACTCTGTTTAAGGTTGTTTGTTTGTTTGTCTTTTTGTTTGTTTGTTGATGCTCCAGGCAATACATGGGAGTGCATCAAGGATGATCCAAAGAACAGCTCAGATGGTGAGGTCTTTGCCATTGAAGCTTGGCCTTCATGGAAGTTTGTTTAACTTTTGCTGAGGGAGGGTTTTAATGCTTAGGTTTTGGTCCTTGTGTTTTGTACTGCTTGGCCTGTTTGTTCCTGGTTTTGGGCCAGTTTGGGTCAGGAGAACTTGACGGTGTCAGTGGCTGCCAATGGATCTGAAGAGGTGTGCGGTAAGGCCTTGTTGAATGTGACTTGGTTGGATGATTGAAGTAATACTTTTATTTTGTTCTGATGTTTTGATTGTGTTTGATTGATTTTGATTTGTATCCTCAACCTCAAGGTTAAAAGCACTAGCAAAGTTGCACACAGCTTTCTGATACGGCATTTTGGCTAATGAAATGTATTAAGGATACAATACCTTGATCATCTGAGGCTCAGGATATCATGACTATTGGCAAGGTCCATGTCAAATGTGGAGATCGCGATGGCTGTCTTCGACCAGCTGAGAGGACCAGTGCTTGGAGCACGCTTGAGCGCCACTTGGCTGTAGTTTGCACATTGGCTGTCTGCAGAATGCTTTGATGTTTGTGATCTTGCCTTCATAGAGCCTTTCTCTCACCGTCTGACTGCAAGAGTATATGATAGAGTCTTGTAGCCCAGGATGGGATGGATGAGATGAACATCAGCCAGGAGGAGGAAGGGGCATCTTCGTCATCCAAAGGCATCCGCTGATCTTGTTGATCGATCCATAGGTGTTGGCATTTGCTCACGTTCTTTGGTCGATTGACCTGACACCTCAGAACTTCTGAGATAAAGAGTTCACTGCATTTTGCTCCTGGAAGGTGAGCCAGTGCGTGCATGGGGACTGTGGGCCAAAGTGCCTGCCTGATATTGTTTGATCATTTTGGTGATCCCATAGGTTGGCATTGGCTCATAGTTGACCGGATTGTTGGATATAGGCTGGATGGTCTGTTGATGTCTATTGAACGGTTTGTTGAATTTACCTTTACAGTGAAATGAGCCCTGGTGAGCAGATGAACCCTGGTGAGCAAATGAACCCTGGTGAGCAGCTGAAGGGGATCACACTGGCAGTGTGTTGGGCAAAGAGCCTGATCATGATCGAGCGGAGGAGGGGAGGAGGGCATTGGGCACAGCTTTTCCTTGGAAGGTCTGTAGATCACAACTGCAGTCTCTAGCACTTTGTTGTGCAAGAAGCCTCCGAAAGATCAAGATCCTCTTTCTCATGGTTCTCAAACCACTTCACTGAGAGGTCCTTGCAGCTGCTCCTCAGATGGTCCAAGTGCAGTAGCTTCCCACTTCGCAGCTAACAAGCAATGCATTGTTCTTTTTTTTCTCCCATTTTTATGCTCTCATGGAAGAACGGCCCTGGCATTGTTGGAGCTGGGCATCCTGGTAGCCCACTCTTTGTTGGCCTTTGGCATTTTGAGCCTTTCAGTAAGGATCACTTGGCCAATTCACGGTCAGTGCTGTAGCGGTCATGAGCTTCAGTGGAGTCCAAGAAGTGGTTCTGTCAACTCATCCAGGCAATCCACATGCCCACGCATTGGGTCTTCCTTGGTGCAGCCTCACCGGATGCTTCCATTGTAGGTGGTGCGCCGTACGGTCTAGCACCTGCATTTCCAGAATCATAGTGGGCTTCAAAGCGGTGGCACCATGTCCTTGCCCTGGAAGCTGTTCTGGTCCCCTGGACTCAAGTTTGGACCGCAAGCGATGAAGAAGCAACATCCTTGACACCTCTTGCTTCATTTGCAGGGCTGTTCGGTGATCGAAGCTCCACAATGTTGTAGGCCAGACATGCCTCACTTCATCAGGCCCTTCTCTTTCCATTCAGAGGATCTGCAACGCGGCAGCATCCTGATGGGTAGATGTACTGCACCTCTAAGGGTGTTTCTGGATCTTGCAGGACTCTGACGGATGCCCTTCAACACTCCCAACTCCCACAACTCTCACGACTCCCAACTCCCACAGCACTCCTTGCACCTCCTGCCACTTGAAATCAATGAGACTTACTTTCCAGCATTGCAGGTAGATTCAACCATATTACCGCTGGCGGACAAGACTCCTTAATGCCATGAGTGTTTCATGTCAATGAGCAACCCATTGAAAAAAGAAACGGTATCATCAATTACCAACCTATTCCATTAAGTGCATTTTTGGATGAAACGCATCAGGTTTGGAAGTTTCAGCTGATCATTCATCCTTGAGGCAATAAGGACAACAAGGATGAGAAGCCAAAGGATCCAAAGGATCCAAAGCCAAAGAAAGAGAAAGGGAACAGTGCGCCAAAGGAAGATGCAGACCATGAGGAGGAGGATGACGGGGAGGACCTGGAAAGCCCAGCGCAAACAGGTCTGCCAAAAGCAGAGGAGGAAGAGTTTGAGGGTGAGGGCTGTGGAGACCAGACTCCAGACTGGATCAACACTGATGGTGACCCTTCGGACTTGGAGAACCATGAAATCACAAAGTTGAAGGAAGAAGCGGAGGCAATTGGAGGGCGGGAACAGACCTCGCAAACCTCGTGGAAAGGCTGCAGCCAAGGCAAAGGCCAAAGCTGACAAGGATGCCAAGGCTCAGGAAAAGGAAGCCAAGGCAAAGGCCAAAGCTGAGGCGAAAGAGGCCAAGAGAGCAGCAAAGGCTAAGGAGAAGGAGCAAAAGGAGAAGGCAGCCAAAGCAAAGGCCAAAG